TCGGGAGACTCTGATGAGTAAAAAAAATTTCGTCTAATTGCAAGCTATTTTCTCAATGGTGCAATTTTTGGCCGAATGTCCCATGTGGAGTCGTCGGTTCAAGATTTGCGATTGGTTTATCGTATAATTTGTAACGAACGATCTGAATTGACACAAATCTGCTGTCAGGTTGCAACGTATTTCTATGATTCATGCGAGAAATCCGATTCGACTGTTTGGACACGTTTGAATCTAGTATTGATCCATATGTGCATACTGGTATTATACATAATTCATGTGTATTTACATTTTCACGTTCAGTTTGTCTAGTCCTCTCTCCTAAATCTGTCATTTTCAAAATATGGATGTATTGTATGCAAAATATTGAGGTATTTTAGAAATTTGAAGGCCATTTGTCATCCAAGAATATCGTCGAATTTGTTCTATTGCCTTTCATCAGCATTATTGACTTTTAGACTGCGGACTTTTATGTATTTACAAGAAATTTCAAAATTTGACTAAACTTTCTATAATATTTGGTATGTTCTCAAAAATATATATTTCCATAAGAGTCCGCAATCTGTTGAACTATATTTTCTGTAATCACTAAAATGGTCTTTTTACTTTTCCATTCTTCGAATCTCTTTTCTTTTGCTTCTCTTTCCGTTTGCTGGAAATTTCTCTTTTTCTTATCGGAATTCTCCTTAGAATACAGCACACGTTAAGATTACTTACCCTTGAGATGGAAACGTACACGTTTTGAAGTTTCAATTTCATCGCCATTCCTCGGAAGGATATTACGCGACTGCATGATGGATTATTTAAAAGAAATAACGTGAACTAGAAGCAACGTATTAAGAAACATTCAGAATAATCAAATAATCGTTAGGAATAATTTTCAAACAAGCAATCACTAAGTCGGTCTAGCAATTCACTCGCGCACTGGATTTCATCCTTGGTTTACTTTTTTACTCAAGCAGATAAAATACTGCTCGTGGCCGTGAATATCAGCCACAACTTCGTACTGCGCTTCAAGACATGGTTATGTCACAGGAAATACTACACCATAATGCATTTGTACTTCACCAGGCATCTCGTAAATCTAAAGTTGAATTCCGTTGCAGCAAAAAGTGTCGTGCTTTCAACCTACTTTAAATAGTGTCTGCCGATCGATTGAGCAAGTCCTGCATAGTGAACGAGGTGAAACTCGCGAATATAATCGAAGTTCGATTTTTACGCGATTCTACGTACGCAATGAAATGAAGCTTACATGTACCCTTTCTGTCCCATATTTTAGTAGCGTGTCTGAATCTCCGTGAATTCAATGATTGAATTGGTTTTAATTCCTATTTTTTTTTTTTTATACTAATTATAAATTAACAAAATTGTTTCTTTTTATGAAAATTTGTAATGAAGCTTTCACGGAGGATATTTATTCTTAAGAAAGTCTGCCATGAAATTTGTATATCGTTTAAAGACCAATAACATCTTTGCACCAAAATTTTTTCGCTTTAATGTATTCCTTTTAATTACTATCGCGTGATGTTAAAATCAAGAAAGCAACATAATTGCACGTATCACTTCCTCTGTAATCTCCAATTCCTGTCGACAAAGTCGATTACTCATCCACCGGAAGCACACGCTCTCTCTCTCTCTCTTTCTCTCTCTCTCTCTCTCTCTCTCTATCGTGACAGCCACGAGCGAAGAAACTTCTTGAATATTCAGTGAGCGTGTAACGTTTAACGAAGCCTCCTATGGATAATGATCTCTCAGCTTGGAATCCAACGGTATAATAAGAAAGAAGAGAAGGAAAACGTATTCTGTACGATGGTCGTTCGGAATGCCACGAAGAAACGCCACGGAACGACAGAAGCGAGGCAACACCGTCTTCTACGGGAGAATCTGCTCGGTGCGCGAGCACACAGATTTTTCGCAAATTAGCAGACGGGATTTTTCACGGGGCCGCGAGCGTTTAGTGGACCAATCTGATAACGCCGGGATGGTTTTTCGCTTTCGCGAAAGCGAAATCGGATGTAAAAGGAACGCGCGGCCCACGGAAACTCGCGTGTCGGCCACGTTTGTCTGGAGTCATTGTAAATTACGCGTTCAGACGACCTCGTGTAATTGGTTGGCGCACGGAATCGTTTACTCTGCCGCGTTGTACGGCTTCACCTGTTGCCGGCTCGCATTGTTTATCACCCCGTTTCGTCACACCAGCGACTTCGAACTAATTATTCGGCGAAAGGAGATTTTTTCTTTTTTTTATAACGAAATAACGAAACGTTGAATCACACCGATATAGTTGAGGTTTTCGATGAACACGGTGTTCTGCTGGAACACGAAAGACGCTCTAGTGGAAATAATTAAACGCGTGGCAAACGTTGCGTGCTTTGACCAAATAGAAATTACAATGCACGCAACAACACGCAGGAATTTATTCGCAGTGGGCTCATGAAAGCGTTCGAAACGCTTGCAGATACGTTTTTTGAATTCGTACGTGCGTGCGTTTCCCGAAATTTAATCAGAAGCATGTTGACGCTCAATTGTCAAAGTTTCGGACAAATTTGAAAATATGGTATAACAAGAATTTATAATATATTTAATAGAAATATATAATTTCAGAAATTACAAAGATGTTATATTTATAGGCTATTTATTATTTAATTTAATTTAATTGATTTAATCAAACTTCTTTGATTAGGTCTATTGATATTATATTGATGAGACTCAATATTCAACACTTGTCACATACGTGTGTTCAAAACAGATGTTCCTGCAGTGTATTAATTGTTTACTAGATATATTTTTAGAATAAATATCTTGTAACTCGTTGCAACATTTCTAGAACAATTTCAAGAGTTGACCGAATGAAATCATGGTAGTAGTAATAAAATAAAAATAAAAAAAGAACGTTTAACGTATAACAACCGCAACACACAAGTAAAACACGCGCGAATACTTTCATTCCCTGAAACATTTCTGTTCTTTTTCAATTCATTCTTTCGAGGTGGAATTACAATTATTCCATCTCCGTGGAATCCATGGAAGAAAGTTCGTGAATTCGTGGAACGTAAATTGCACTCGCCTCGGGGCGTGACTGTGATCATTAAAGTTCACTAAACGATGAGAGTAACAATGACAGAGCAGATTGACGACTAGAGAGAAGAGTGTTTCGATAATAATTTCACTTTACCATCAATTCCACATCGTGGTGCATTTCATCCGGAGAATTTCATGAACGGAAAAACATTGGAGACAAGTTTTTTTTTTTTGGATACGTGACGTTCTCTTCTCGAAGTCACGTATTATTACTTTCTTGGTCATTTCGTGGAAGGATCACGAGTCATTCAGCAATACGAGTCATTCGTATGTGGAACAAAGTTTTTTTTTTTACAAGTAACGGAAGTGACAGTTATAGTTGTTGTAGAAAGTTTCACGTATATATATGACATGTTTTTGTATAAAACATTTTGTTAGTATTTTATTGATATCTTAATGTGATACGAATATCATGATTGCGAACAATCTGGAATTAAAATATTTGTTAGAATATTTGGTACAGTATTTTATAGTAGTTCAATAGAAGCAAGAATGATCTATTAAGAATTTATAAACTATCATTTTTAATATGCGTAAAAAATGTTTAGTACTATATAAATATAAAATATTGATATTAGTGCTAATTATACATTTCCAATTTTTTTTAACGAAATATATGCTTATTCTGAATATCACACATTTTCAGATTTGTTTCAAACATTACCAACACAATCTTGACAGTCGTGTCTTAGTATAATGTTATTTTATCATCATTATACCCTCATAAAACGATTTTATACATATAACGCATGCTAGATTATTTAAAAATTTACTCGCAATTAAAAATAAGTAGTTGCTCAATGGAATGATATATTTAAATTAAAGTAAAAAAAAAAAATCGCTCATTTTCTTTCTAAATTGAGTCCTTTTGCAATCCCAAGAATTTTAACGAAACGGGAACTCGAAGCGAACGTCACGTCTCAAAATATCAGACTTTCATCCGTCAGAATTGCCTCGGTCTTCCTCGATTTTTACGTAGAAGTCGTTTTAATTGCCTAGACAAGAGCGGAACTCGAAGAAGTATAACTGGTTGATTTGTCACGGCCGTTCGATCGAAAATTTCCTCCGTGTCTCTCCGTTGCGTTCCGCCATTAACCATAAGACGTAACACCGACGATTTATGAGCATCATTATCTCGTTTAGAGCGGAATGACGTAACAATGGCTGCGTTCCGCGATAATTGGACGGAATAGAGGATTCGAATGTGACGCGTATATGGCCGAATAGAAGGGCGGGTTCCTCCAGCAAGTTTCTCATTACCCGTGTCATAACTCTTGTTACTAGCGCGATCGTACAATGAACAATGACGTGATTGTCCTAGGTGATTATTTGGCCGAGATAAAAGTTTCGAGGATGCACGGTACCATGTTTGGAACACAAAAGAGCCATCCGACTTGATTGATCTTGTGAAAGTAAATAAGCGAATTAAAACTTTATAATATCGTAATTGATTCATCACTTTGCAACAAGTTTTATGTAAATTGATGTTCAATCAGAATACGAAGAAATAAAATAAAATAAACTTCTTACTAAACTAACAGAAAATTCAATCTCCTTGAAGGATACATAGAAAATTCATATTGCAAGATAGCATATACCAATACCTTTGCTTGAAATCTTTTTGACGCAAATTTTACGAAAAAATACTTGAAATAATACAAGATATAAACTTTCAGTAAAATGTGTTTGATTGAAAGTATACCGAGACTTTACGAACTTTACAGCTAAAGCCATAAACACTGATGTCTATAGCGTCACGTAGTTTTCAACGGTTGTAAATTCTTAACATCTTAACAAGGGAACTTCGAGTGAAAGTTACTCTTGCCGAAGATTGTGTTAACGAAAGAAATTAAATATCCTATTAAACAGGTATTAGCTTCTCAACTGTACATCGCTTTTCACGAATCTCTGTTGCAGACAGCAGTTAACATGGCAGCAACGATCGATAGATTTAGCTGGTACGCGTTCGTGCTGAAATATAAGAGGAACGCGTCTGTTACACATCTGGATCGACGATCTTGCCTACCGCTTACAGAACAAATCGCCACGAAACGGTAAGTAGCCTGGAATTTCATTATTGAGAATCGAGATGAGATTTATCCTGGCGAGGCATCGATTCCCACAAGAAGAACAAAATCCTAGCAATTATTGCCCGGCGTAACATGGTAATAAATAGGTTTGCTTTCCCGTTACGTGCTATCTGATTTACCCATTCGGTTATGCAAGCGTTTGAAACAGGGTCGTTTCGAACGCTTATTTCCTCGATTTGTATTTAGTATCGCGTCCCATGGAAATATATATACAGACACACGAGCCAACGTAATACCGTGCATGCTGTACACACGCAACACGTACCGAGCTTACTCGTTTGGTCCAAGTTACCATGCAACGAAGGGTGTAGGAATCATGTGTTGTTACGTCAGTGTGTCACGCGTTTTGCGTAATAAGCGCATCTATTAAAATGATAATCTAGTTGAATCATACGATTATGGAAACATCGTAAAGTGGTGCAATCGCGTATTACTCCTGACGACAGTACATAACAAGGGATAAAAGTATTCGTAGTCAATCAATTTATTGGGAAAATAAAAAATTATTTACATTGAAGGGATGTATACAGGGTAATTCAGGTAATTATGTGTCTAATGAAAAATTGTTTAATACAAAAGTTCTATGGTTTTAACGGAACGAAAATATAAAATATTTGGGTGTGTTGAGGAGTTTCAAAATTTTCAAGATCACCTTTATTTTTTTAAATATATTGTATATTATATATTATATATTATATAGTGGTGAATGTACATAAATCAATTTTAATTTACATTAATGTACATTGATTAATTTTAGTTTTAACTGTTAACTTATACGTGTTGAAGAAGTGTGGTAACGTTTCATTAATGGGATATGATTTCATGAATATTCATGGACATTCGCACCTGTGTACATTTATTATTGCAAATTTAATATTTGTCTATATAATATACAGCTATATTTAAACATCATTGACAACATAAAAAAAAAATTTTTATTTTTTTACACTGAACCAATTGTACGAATATTTCTATCTCTCACTGGCTTGTAAACCCATTTGAAAGTTACGGCACATTATGTTTGTTCCGTTCATTTCGTTCCGATGAAAGAAATCTCAGATCACGCGCCAGTGCCATTCACGTTCAAATTCATCTATCGCCGTTGAAATGGTAATAAAGAGTTGTCAGCAGGTGCCATTAATTTCTGGAAAAAAGTTAAATTCACAGGTTTTCATATTTCTCCCGCCGTCAGGGTTGAGAAACGCGCGGTATTGTCGACCATAGTACAATCGTTGACACATTCGCTTGTTTGTCCATTCTCGCGTGTCCAGCGGAATTCTTGTAATTCCATCTTTCGAAACCGAGCGGATTTTCTCGGCCTCTTTGCTGGCGTACTCACCCTCCCCGATGATGCAATTAAAATACATACGCGCTAAAGATACATACGTGCATTCGCACAATTCGTGCATGAGTTCTCTGCTGTAAGATTGCAGAAACGTTGTATTTAAGCCGTATTTACTCGACATTCGATTCGAGAAGATTTATCGTTATACAATATAATGGATCTGCTGAATTTGCTTTTACTGTGTTTTTCCTGTCAAGGCGTTTAAAATTTACACGGTTTGCTCATTGGGCAGAATATTTCACCATTACGAGACATTAAAGTACAAGATAAAAATATTTTGATCGATGACATTCATCACCTTTAATCATTCTAAAGTGAAATTAAAAATTAAATAATTGAATCATTAAAAATTCCAAGATATTCGTCAGCGTATCAATGTCTTAATCATGAAGAGTAAAGTAGGTATTGATTCAATGCTTGCTGCAATACATACAATTGCTCCTTTTTCTCAAACACATATTACTAATCATTGCGACAAAAAGAGAAAGAAGAAGAAATGATTTTCAAAATCATCGTCAACCATCATTTTCACGCGCGTGAGTCACCAGAAACGCAGGAAAGAAGAAAAGGAGAGGCCACGCGCAGAGAGACATGTCACGTTTCTTCTCGGTACTGGACCAATTTATTAACCGCAATCTCGACGATAGCATCGTTGCGGGCTTAAATATAGGCGAAATTCGCCGTTCGATGTTCCCTAATTTATTTCCAGATAGAAATCGATGTTTACGTGTGGCGTCGCGTCGATTTAGTCGGCGTGCCTACGAAAATAGCGGAAGCGCGACACTCGACGCGGGACCAGATCCAACATAGAATCGGAATCGTTTAATTTTGGCACCGCGATTTATATGTCATTTTACCATTTTGCAAAACATACCTACGACACTGTAATTTTAGAGCGAACGTGCGTATAAACGTCACTATGATTGAAAGGTGACCAAAAGCGAGCGAGCAACCGCGACCGAGGGGAGGATTGGTGTTCCTCCAACGAAACGATCGCGCGAAAGAACATGAAATTATCGTATTTCTTTAGCAAACTGTAAAAAAAAAAAAAAAGGAAAGGAAGCAACTCATCAGTCCATTCGTCGATCTTCGCGCAAATGTTAATTTTTTTAATTAACATCGATCGTAATTGCACAATTAATTAGAGCTGGTTTCTTGCCGGGAGAAGTCGCGGAATTTTGCTGACTGGAAACGAAACCGGGTGTATCCGCGAGGCGGGCAGCAGCTCCTATGCGCGCATTAAGCGGCCAGTCGCGTGCATATCGGTTACAGACGCTTTAGCCCGCACATCAATTAACTCGCTGTTATTCACTACCTGTTATATCTATGTACACGCACACGTATAACGTTCCTTTCCTGGACGTACCGATCGCAACGCGGAATCTCGACTGCCATTGCTTCGAGTTTCCCTTTACATTTCGAATTTCGCTCTCATTACATTTCGAGCGTGCAATTAGTTAAAAAAAAAAGAAAAAAAAAAAGGAAACTGCCCACGCTTTCACTTTCGCTTTGTTCCTTGGTCCATGGATGATTCCTGTTGTTTAATTATCGTCGTTGTTTAATTGTCGACTACCGATCTCTTCGTTCATCTGTTTTCGTAGCGTAGCGATCGAAAGTGTAGCCAGAACTGCAAGAAGGTGGATTAAAAGTCCAGCGGGTGTATGTTTCGTTGCTAAAGTGAGATATTTCCTTTGAAATTTTATCTCAATAATTCCTAAATATATCGTAGCGAGAATGAAAATTTGCATATTCAAATTGATTCCCTTGGGAATTAATTATAAATAAAGAAATCATGTACAAAGAATTATAATATAACCTCTGTTTTCATTATAATTATCATTATGATATAACCTCCATTTTCATTATAATTATACTAGTCCAATTAACGCTGAATACTAGCACGGAAAAGAAACATTCTCGTAAAATTCCCATGAAAATTCCAAATACCGAAAAAATTGCGGGACTCCCAGGAGTGGAAGCTGCAGGTTTCACTGTGGGAATCGATGTTCGTATACCGGAACGAACCGAGTATATTTTACAGAAATTCCCGCGCCCGCGCCCGTTTAATTGATAGCACGTGACGTATCTATCGTTGAATTACTGTACAATGAACCAGTTGGTGGTTAATTAGAATCGTGATACGTTTCGAAAGGTACAGACGAGCAAGAGTGTAAGCGTCACAAGCATGCAAACATTCATTTCAATCTAAAGATCCAATCTATGAGTCCATTCACCTGATCTTTCCTCTACGAAAGGTTTTTTGGATCATTATTGTCGGTTTGATTCAAATTCTTTCTCTTCGTCATGGTCGATCGATGTTCGCGTCGTGTGTCTAAAAGTGAAAATCAATCTCAACCTAGTTAAGTTTAATAACCCAATCAAAGTTTAATAACCGATTATCTCTATATCAGGCGATATTCGATATTCCTGACAAGAGGTCTCGCCAGGAATAACATTTTCCGAAGGTGTCGATCGATACAGTGGTTAGAGAAAGTGTTGCCGCTTGCCATTTTATTTATCGTAACATTTGTGTGCTTAGATAATAAAATTAACTGTCATAAATTTATTATATATTGATGAATCAAGTAAACTGGCTGTAATAAATTTGTTATATTATATCATACGTTTAACATGATATTGTTGTCATTATGTGATCACTAATATCAAGTGAACTAACTGTAACAAATATTTAATTGTACTCTCATACGACTACGAAAATTTGACAGAAGAATGTAGCAAGAAATAAGCAGACACTTTGGAAAATAAAGGTATGTGCCAATATTTTTTGTAGCCAGTGTGACTGGTCGTTGATCGGAAAAAGTAACGAAATATTGGCGAGCGCCTCTGCGAGTCGAATCTCTCGATATCTAAAAACGACTCGGCGCGACGTTCGGATGCTTTTTTCTTTTCCTTCGTTTCTTTGCCTGTTAGCTGTCTCGTGGCGGACTGCGGAAGCTTTCGCGAGGTTGCTCAACGAAGAAAGTGACCACAGAACCACGTGAGTCATGTAAAACGGGATATTTGGAAAGTGGTAAACATTTTCGACGATGCAAAGGGGAGCGGCGTACTCGCTCGCGCGCCCGGTGATAAAAATCGGGCGATAAATCTTCGTCACGGACGCGAAATTTCATAACAGAGATATCGTCGAGTGACAGCCTGTCCGGTAAATCGTCAATTATAGGTGAATTGAATACGAAATTTCGTAGTGAAGATGTGAATGTCTTCGCTATCAACAGTGACTGATGAATCGTCGTATTAAAGAACGAAATCGCGAAATTTTCAGAATGAAAATAGGAATAGTTCGTGGATGTTTATACAAATTTACACTTTCATGAATGGAATTGCAAAACTAAATGATAAATTGTTTTACTTGAATACTGTAACAGTTGTCATATTTTTCCACGCGTTGTTTCGTATACTTTTGAATATTACTTTGCACCTGCAAATTTTCCATAAAATCTGCAATTTAGATAGTGGCAAATCGTGGAGAACGCTTTTAATTGTGCCTTTAATTAGAGATATAATCAACGGCGTCGTGACGCTAGAAAATGTTACCCTTACGTTTTAATGATCCACGCTCGAACGATCTAAATAATCAGATTTGTTAGTAATATTGCGA